TGTGAAATGAATTTGTGTTCCATCTCATAAAAGTCTAGTCTGTGGATTTTGGTTTTATTAAAAAATGCCTATTCAAACTTAGCCTTTAAACGACGCCGACGACTAGAATTAGATCTTGACTGAGATTCTTTTGGTAATTATCTGACATTTTCATTAACAACCGTGAAGAATTACAAAACTATAAGAGCGCCTTCACAGTTTGCTTTTCCATCTGCTATTCTCATGTACAAAGAAAAGTAAGAATAGAACCTAATCTAGAACACAAAGCTTTGATTCATGATCCTCATTCTACAGGGGCTCTTACATCACAAGCATAAACTGTTTCTCTTGCTACACATTCCTGAAGCCTTGATTTCTTCTCAAAGATCCTTTAATTCCTCTCGATCCAAATGGAGTGAACAAATTATGTATAGACCTTTCTGATAAGTTGAGCACTCTGTGTTTTCCCCTTGGTCCTCATTATTATCCAATTGAGGTGATGTTTCGAGTCTGTGGCAAAGAAAATCTGAAGATGAAGCCACTGTAATAATCTTTCTCATATCCATTTTGAATACAGCATATGAACAAATAAGTGGTCTCTGGATTCATTTGCTACAGCACATAACCTGTGTTGGTGATCCACATTCATTCCCCAAGAAGCTAACCTGTCAACTGTCATCAATCTTCCTTGCAACTGCAGCCAGGGTTTGATTATGACTTTATGTTGGGCTGCATTATTGAACATAAGACCCTTCCATCTCATTCGGGGACAGTCCCTATCAACTGAAGATAGATCTGCTTAACCAATCCTTTGTGGCGTGCTTCATTAATTTAGTTTGTAAGGCATGTCGTGCAATTTAAAGGGAACTTCCCTGTTGGAAATTAAGCTAATGTCTCTGTTGTCATCTTAGAATATTTGTCCATATTTGCCACTTGGCCAGAAAGGGAAGAATGTAAGTATGAGATTATGACACAGACACACAACAACTTATGATATGTCAAATTCATATGCTTCGACCTTGGAGGAATGGTTGGTGTGTGGCATTGAACTTTCCCCTTTCAGACAGGAACCAATATGGACATTATCTCATTTTATTTAATAAGCCTGCTGAGTTTTATTGTTTTCAATTCTGAACTCCATGGGTTTCTTTTTGGGATTTTGTACTTGCCATTTTCGTCTATAGCTATCTGCAATAAATTTTCTTTTTCTGGTGAAGTTCTGTAGTACATTCTCTTGTAATTTATACATTCCCGAACCCACAGTTTAAGTGCTAAGCCAACTTTAGTGGGAGTAGTTCATATAAGATGATGGGAACCTTTGAGAAAAACACATGCTGCAGTTTGGATATGATATTGTCTGGTTCATGTATGATGGTCTGGCTCATGTATGATGATGCACGCAAAAAACTACAACTGTGATGTGTATTGTACTGGTGGAAAAGCATGTCGTGCTGGTTTGAGTAGTATCATTGCATGATCTATTGTTTGTAGGAAGGCAAAAGATTATAGCTCATTGGCTGACGATATTGCCTAAGACAGTAGGAGTTATGTACACAATCTGAAGCCTTGGGAATTTCTCAGAAAGAAGAGAAAGAAAAGGAACTGACAAGAGGCTATATACAATGGAACTAATATCAATCATTGTAGTTAGAGGGACGGATTGCAGCAAGTGTAGTACACATCATTGCGGTGAATCTGGATTGGCTGAATGTTAATTTGATTAGTGGTCCTTTCCGGGGTTTCATGGACATAATTATGGATTTCCTACTCTACTTGATTAATATGCGCCATTTCCTCTCTTGGATGCTTTCTCATTGTCTAGTTAATTAGTCTCTAGTCCAGAGGAAGGGAAAGGTCAGTTTTCCTTTGATGTATATCTACCATTAGGTTATGAAGGTGATCTCGAATACGATGTTAGTTACTAAGACAAGGAGGAGTACCTATTCAGTTTTAGCTATGTTTTTGTTTATGCCCTTCCATTATTGATCAGGATCTTGATGAGCTATCATGAATTACCACCAGGGAGGTTGTGATTTATAGTTCTCTAAAAGAACATTCTTTGAATCCTATAAATATGAGCTGTGGAATAATTATACTCACTAACAGAATGAACCCAGTGAGGTTTGTTTGTCACCTTTTCAATCAAGCTGGACTCTTCCAACTTTTACTGGTGAATAACTCGATTTAGAGGGTAAGAGAGTGGCAAACAGTTCCACATAGCTTGTTCATTTTCCTGCTCTTTTCAAGTACACTGGGCTGTTTCTCTGCAATTTTTTAATTGATGCAATTTAATCTTGAGAATATTTTACCATCTGAATCGAACTAAACTATATCTGGCACTCAGGCTGTTTGCTAAAATATGCTGATGTTTCTCTTGCTATGCCATTTCAATTTTCATTTTAGTGCTTCAGAAGTTATGCATGAGACAACTTTTGCATGCATCTCCTATTACTTTCAATATATTGAACCAAGTTCTCACCCACATTTACTTTTTCTCTGTGCAGACTGTACCTGCTTGCCAAAATCTATATAAAAATTCCTTTACTTATCACTGCCTTGGTGATGAGCAAGATTTGCAGTTTGACGATGCTATCCAATTCTTAGGTGAGTGTCATTACTTGTGAACTTAGTATGTCTAAGCTTATTTTTGACAATTTTTTACTTTATAGGTTTAAAGAGTAGTTTAGTCTGACATAGGATTTTAGATGATTTCTTTTTTAGATTCTTGGCTTTGTTGGATATCAAGGAACAATAGGATTTGAAACACATAAAGTTACTATCACCAAATAAAATGGGTTTTGAGCATCTATTGGCTTTTCTGAAGGAAAGTTTTTACTAGCACGTAGTTATTTCTGGGGTATTTTCATTAAGAATACAAATGCTACTTATCAAAAGAACATTGTAGAAAGCACCCAAAGGCGTGGTCTAGTGGTCAATGAAGTGGTTAAGAACCCTGAAGTCTTGGGTTCAAGAGTTAGCGAGACAAATACCACTAGGTGATTCTTCCAATAAAGAGAAAAAAATGAACATTGTAGAAAACCTCTTCAGAACCCGGAAACATAATTAGAAACCCTTTTATTTCGCAATACCTATCAGTCAAATGTCTGCATTCTGAATTCCATTCACATTGTGTAAACATCATAGCTATTATTGACCATAGAATCACATAATGATTCTTTAACTGAGATAATTCTGCATCTATAAATATTATCAGCCTTTTGATCTCAGATGAGTTCTACTCTTTCATTGAAGTTCCTCTCTTGTAACTCAACTTTTGATCAATTTACTAAGTCACAATCTGCTTGATTATGCCCCTTGTTCCTCTTCCTAATAATCACCTTGTTCCAAACTTTGAAGCTTTAGCCTTGTATTTTCCACGAGACTAGGCATCCTTCCTCCGAGTTGACATGCTTGTATAGAGAGTTTTATTGTATGTGTATTACTTCTGCCCTCTGGCTGTTTGATCAATGATCCCTGTCTGTGAAGGACAAGCTACTGTGTTGAATTTCTCTTATGAATTTAACTACCTGGACTTTGACTGCGAGCTCTTCACAGAATCCAGTACTTCATTCTTTTATCCATCTTCAATTGTAGCTTTTTCCAGTTGAACGTTGAGTCTTCTACAGGCTTCTTGTGTATATATTTGTCTCCAACAGGCTGTTGTTTTGAACTTTTGGTCTAAAGTAGGAAACGAAGCTTGCCATCTTCTTTTCCTTTTCTTAATGCTTTGGTCGTGTCTTGGATATGTGCTTATACTTGACAGTTCTTGAAGATTAAACCTGACAGCACATGAAAAGATTTTACTTGAACTTTCTCTACAATCTACAACTATTGAGTAGGAAAGTATAGTATTCGTGCTAAAATATGATATCATGCAATTTTACTGCTATAGTTGAAACTGTCATGTTTATGGCTTCAACTTTATTTTAGAGCCATCTTTGTATGTTTTGTGGAGATGCTTTGCTGCTAAACTGATGTTAATGTTACTTTTCTTCTGCAGAACAATGTGAAAGGGATAGGGCTCGTGTTCTTGTACATTGCATGTCAGGGAAAAGCAGGTTTGGAGTTTGATTTATGAATTTTGCATGCATAAGTTTTCATGATTTTCTGTTTGTTCTTTCTTTTTGGTTTGGTGTTGCATTTTTTCCTCCATTCTGTGTTCTTTCCCCGGGTTTCCCTGAAATATAATGGTGTACAGGTCAAAGCGTGTTTATCGAAACACCTATATTTGTTGATTGAGAATGAGAAATGCAGTAAACTGTTCCATAGAATTGGTTTCAACTGATTGTGCTTACAGAAGTAACTATTGTTACAACTTAATCGTGCATTTCCGACAGGTCACCTGCCATTGTAATTGCTTACCTGATGAAAAGTAGAGGCTGGAAACTTGCACAGAGCTATCAGTGGGTGAAAGATCGGAGGCCTTATGTCGACCTTAATCAAGGTTTAGTTATACCCTTATAAGCATTTCTTCATTGTACGTAGCTAGTTACTCTGCTCGGACATGCTCGCAATGATCTAGATTTTGTTTTTGTTATTATAGCCCTATATGTCAATGAAACCTTTTTCGTATTTTTTGGTAAATGCAGGGGTTTACCATCAACTAGAGGCGTATGAACAGAAGATGTTCGGATCACTGGAGAACCAGCCTGCATTTGGCATGCCGGTCTTTTCTTCTCCTGTGCTGCCATCATTGAGCTTTAACTACCCAAAGCCTAGTGATTCAGTTCAAATTCCAGCCTTCAACTTTTCTGGTGCTACATCAATTTTCGCTCGTCCTGATATTGGCATTCCTCCCCAGGAATTCACCTTTGGAGCTGCTCATACCTCCGATATCCATTTGAGTTCGAACCAAAATCCAAATAGTAATATGGACTGATCTGCCTATGTGGAATTTTCAACTTGAATGATGCTTAGAAAGCTACTACACAAGTCACTTGACATGATTATATTGACTTGTTTGAAAGTATGAAATGTCAGTGCAACTACAAAATTTTATGGTGAAACAACGTTTTTCAGAGTCGATGATGAAAAAAATTTCATGAGATGTTTTAGAAAATATTGAGAATCTCATCAATGGAGCAATTACAAAGAGGGCAAGAGCCTCTCTTCATCCACAATTCTCTTGAACAAACCCTACAATATGTATGTCCACAGGGGATAAACGCTGCGCCTTTATTTCTCTCCATGCACACGCAGCACATTTCATCAATTCCTCCTCTTCCTTCTTCTTTAATGTACCATTTCAGACTCTTCTCCTCATCTATGCCGTCCGTTTCCTCAAACAATCTCATCAGCGTCTTCAATTCCGCCGTCGCATCCACGCTCCGGTACCGACGTTCCGCTGCCAACGCTGTAGCGAGGTTCACGTTTCCTTGATGGGCCCCGATTATGGGCTCTTCTTCACCGAATAATTGGGCTTCAAATTGTTGGGCCTCTTCTTCTCTCATTGTCACGTCTGATACTCTCAAGTTCCAAGAGGATCCACAGCAGACCAGTCCGGTGAATCCCAACCGTTGCTTCAAGCTCCTCCACATCGTCCTCGGCCTATCTTCTCCGTCCATTTTTCTGACAAATTAGTAAGGTATTTTTCTGTGATTATTGCACTTAATTTCGTCACTAGAAAGCTCAATAAAAACCCATGAAGGAAGATGAAAAAGGTCAGTGAAATTCTTACTTATAAGAGTCCAAAAGCTTTGATCACATTGATTGTTTTGGATTCCGGAATGGAATTTTCTTCTTCTTCTTCTTCTTCTTCTTCTTCTTGATTTGCGTGTGTGAGAGAAAAGAGAGATACTGATGATGTAAAGAGGTGGGAAAAAGTTGAAAAGAAGGGATTGCTTATATGTTCAAAAATTTGGAAAAAATTAGTTACAGGTTTACAGCTCATGACTGAATTTTTCTGAAATTGGTAAAAGTGAAACAGAATGTGGACTGTCGGGGGTGGGTGACCCTTTTTTCACTTATTTACACCATAACTGACTAAAACTGAATTCTATCATTTTTATAATAATAACGTATTCAGTATAATTTTACGAAATAACTACTCATTATAAGAGATGAATTAGATCATTCTCAATTAGGAGTGTCAAATGGGCAGGTTGGGTTGAAATTGAAAATATTAAAATGAGTTGAAGAAAATTTGAGTTGGGTCTTGACCTGCCCAAGTTTACTTTGGGTTCAAATATACTAAAAGATGGATTGCATTTTGACCCATCCAATTTAACCCGATTAATCTCAATACTTTGTCATATTGATATTTAACTTTTATAATTATAATTTGAATTTTAGCTCAAGAGTTTTTTTTATAAAAAAATAACAGATGGATAAATAAACCCTAAAAGATGTTAAGTAGATAATAATTCATATCTTAAATATAAAAACATATTTTAACAAAGTGTTTTAAAACAGTTGAAATTGAAAATTGAATTGAGTTCAATTGAGGATTCTCTTCAAATGGGTTATGCTTGAATAGATCATTATTGAACTCAATTCAAATTATCTTGAGTCCAATCCTTAAAATTCTAGGCGGATTGGACAGATTACCTATGTTTGAGCTCATTTTTTACACTTTTATTCTCAACTATCTACTAGCATTCTTGTTTAATTCCTAATTAACATAAACTCATGTTTAAAATCATCTATAATCAATTTTTCATTGTTGATTATTATAAGTTATATGACTTTACATGAATAAGAAATAACTAATATAGTTAATAATAAAAGTAAACTAGGAATAAAATGAAAGTCCGGAGCCTAAATGGTATAAAATGTTAATAAAAATTTTAAAACGGTATATGAATATTTATTTTAACCAAAAGGGCAAAATCGCTTGAAGGACAGCGACTTTGCTCGCCAGAAAAAATAAAATCGCTGCCTTGGCAGCGATTTCTAAAATATTTTTTAAAAAATAATTTTTAATAAATCGCTCCCTAAGGAGCGATTTTTCTTAATTTTTATTTGAAATTTAAAAAAAATTAAAAAAAATAGAAGCAAATCGCTGCAAGTGCAGCGATTTGTCTCCAATTTTCTTTTATATTCTTTTAAAATCAATCTTTTTTTAGAAAAATTATAATTGCTACTTGTTTTAAAAAATTATTTTAAAAAAATTATTATAAAAAATTATTTTGGAATAAATAGTAGAAAAATTTAAAATTAAAATTTCTTTTAAAAAATTTAAAATTTAATTTTAAAAATTGTAAAAAG